GGGTTGGAGCCAATTCAGTTCTGAGCAGTACAGTACGGATTCTCGTATTCCTAAATTCAATACTATTCCGATTACTACACTACCCCAATGTGATCTCTTCTCAAAAAATTCGGTGAGGCTTATGAATATGTATTTACCTGGAAATCTACGTTTATTCAACCCCCCTTTGGCCCCATGGAATGGCCAACACAGTGACTGCATTCCAATTTTTGCGGTCTCTGCAATCCTTTAGTGCCCGTGTGAAGTGCTGTCACGAGTAAGGCGAATGAAAAGGTTTAATTATGGCAAGGTGAATACCATCACTAGCAGCAGCTTTGTTGGATTTAATGTTCTCCATGAATCTCACTCATTTATTTATCCCCTAGGACGTTTATATCCCTTATCGGATGGATAATTCTTCACTCAATTGGCCTTCGTCTTTTGTCTACTTTACACACGTTCTTCAATTTGACCCTTCAGATCTCGTTCTTTTCTCAGTTCGAGACCGAAAACCTTCCTTCGAGATACTGGAACATTTGTACCGATTGCCCTAGCATAGACTTCCGCTACTGCAGGTATCGAATTATGATATCTTTAGGAATTTAAAATCACCGGACTAGAAATGTTTAATTCGAAGGCTACCTAGGCTTATCTGACATGGTTACACTTTCGGTTGGCATATCTATCACCTCGGAGACATAGACGTGAGCAGCACAATCAAGGTCCGTTTTCGCTCAATTAACGACACGGATTCCGACGATATTCAGTTATCCGTTTAGTCACCATGTATCACGTTCTCGATGTTCATTTTCCCCAAATCACCCGCCTATCCGGATTTGAATATTGAGTTTACCTTGACAATGCACGACCTGAATGAAAGTTCACTCTGATCACTTTTGAGAGAACTACTTCTTGTCTTGCTTTGCTGACAGATCCTTCCAATAGGATGGACACCAGATGTAGTATATTATATAGGGGACCTGTATCGAAAGCGAAAGCTCGTTGCTTATCATATACTTTAACGAAGCACCAACTTGCGGAAGGAGTTCAGGAATTCATATGTAGATCAGCTCGGTTATGGGATTTTCTGATTCAAACGTTTCGGTTATCGGCTCAATTTCCAAGTCCGCATACTCGCATCACAAATCGCCTTTCACTGAAGGTGTACTAATTGAGTAATAGGGTTAACTGCATTGTATACTGTAAACCAAATTATCTTGCAGAATGCGGTTTTAATATCTTTTGACATGATTCGTAGACACTAGCATCTTTATCCCTATTTTATAATCGCTCAAATGAATTCCGTCTGTACACACAATAATTATTTAGCTCGAGGACAAACAGTCGAGGTTAAACAATTGTTTTCCGTAATATCTACCTTTTCATAGCTGTACACATCATATAGGATTTGTACTAAGCATATTGGTGGGAATCAAATCAAGTCAAGAAACGATTTATGCACCCAAAGGGTTGATTTTCAGCAGGATACAATGCCGCAGAACCCTATGTCGATTTCTTTCTGTAAACGTATTTAAACACTGAAGACATTTGACAGAATGATAAACTAATTCCTAACCACACCACATCTTTGCATAATGCGTACAGGCTTGCAAATGAAGCACTGAATACACCTGCATACTTTGGATCGTGTTTTTCTCTTGTACAGGTATATTATGATATTTTAGTAAGCTTGATATCTTGGTTTACTCTCGAACACCGCGCTGCTCGGATAATCGCATAACTGATGTACACTCTAGTTTGTACTCAATTATTTCTGTGACTTTAATAATTTCACATTTGTTTGGTTAATAATTCTATCAGAGCCACTTAGGAATGAAAATTAGTGGGTGATTTGTTAATGAACCCGTTACTGATAGGGCAGTTGTTTTCTTAGGGATTTAAAACAGGAACCTTCTCTTCACGATAAGTTTACCCCCACGGCAGTAGGTCAGAGTTCAAAAGTTTGGAACTGTATGGCATGAGTCGCAGCACATGGCAAGAGAAGGGAATTGCATGTGTTGTTGAGGCCTTTTGATTTCTGAAGCCCCTGAAAGCAGAACTGAGATGTGCATGGTTTTCTTAAAACATGCAGACATTAAAAACTATTATTGACAGCTATAGTGCAGAGTAACTGGACCAACAATCGACTGAGAAAAGAAAATATTCCAGAAAGCCGATATACATGCAAACGCAATACAGGATAAACTAACTTCCGGTCATAAACCAATACTGGTCGCAGTCATTGTTAGGGATCAAAACAAATTAGCCCGTGTGAAAGGACTGTACTGAACTGGCGTGTTTTATTTAGTTTGTTTTGGTAGTTGCATCACAGTTGTTTGAACGGATAATGCTTCGAAGACGTTGCTCACACAAATCAGTGTGATTTCACCATTTCAAATCTTCGAATATATATAAGGTTTCTCTGAACGAGGCGATTAGTTTCCCGGGAAAAAATAATAAGGGATGCAAACACTGCAATACACACCGGACAAATCCCATCAGAGCTAAAGCATTAGTTTATTCAACGTGCACAGAAGAATAGAGGAGAACACAAATCGTTTCGAGGTGACATAAAAGTGGCATCCGACTGAAAAATAAAAATAAATGCATACTGTCACAATGCTCCTCATAACCATATGGCCCGATAGGAGCATTCGAAAGCAAGTGTGTAATTCGATAACGCAATGTGGAACAGTTGTAATATAAGAGCTCACTGTAAATAGGATTAGTTTGACAGAGCATCAGCTACGAAATTGTTTTCACCGCATTTTTTCACTGGTTCTTCATCGGTCACAGACTGACTCTCAAATTCTCGTGGAGGTATCATCATTGTTGGTTCACATTCCTCTGGTTGTTCGTTCGGTTTCACTTTGTCTACCTCCGGTTGTTCCTCCGTAACTGAACCGCCAGTGATTTCAGACTCCAACCCAACAACTTGTTCACCTTGAGCATCAGTCAAAGGCTCAATATTATTTCCTTCCCCGCATTGATTCGTCACTTCAACGGGTTTCACAGGTGTATCTGGATCACACAATTGCTCCCCAGTTGGAAGTAGGTTCACATTTTGTGGGTTGTTATCCTTCGGGTCTGCAGTTGTTTTAGTAGCATTTCGCTTCCCATATCGGGCACGTAGATTGGAGAAGAAATGTCCCAATTTAGTCATATTGATACTTTTTGCAGTTCAAGTTTATTCTTTGTGATCTGTAAGCTTTTTTACTTTTGCTGCACTAGGAAATAGTTTCGTGCGAGGCGTGAATCAGACTGACTGAGTAGTGAATTCAAAGAATTGGATCGATTGAAGTGGATGTGTGAGGATCGATCGATAGCAGTATACTTAATCCGTTTAGTTTGTCAGTACGGGGAAATATGCATAGCTTAATAAATTGCTTTTTTATTCCCAACCACCAAATCCGATTGAAACGAGGGATAAAAACCAGCAATCCACTTTTGGTAACCTTTTCAAACGTATGATAACCATTCTCAGAAATTGGCCACTTTCAGGCTCCTCGGTAATCAGTTTATGTAAGACCTATCGTTGTTGTCTGCTGATGGGTACATTGCCTATATCACATTCTTCAACAGCGACACATTTCCCACGGTGAAAGATGTTGGATAATGTGTTATTTAATTGATTATTGAGAGATTATGGTGTTCATCTTAGTCGATACTAAGAAACCACAAACGTACCAACTCTACAACATCTCTAAGAGAGATTATCTATCACCATACCACACGTCAATGACAGTGTCAGTGAACTCTTTGAAAATGGACTCTCCAAAGTAATGCTTTTCACGTCTTATAACACTGAACTCAACATATTCGGTTTATTTCATCTGGTAATTACTCAGAGGCTTGTAAACTTTTGCCACTGCCAACCGTTTCTATCTACCCACCATGTTCCTGTGAAGCTAGTTACATTGATCGTACCAGTTGTCAATCGACAACATAGAAACACGAGCATCACGAGGCCTGGTTGAGAAAAGGATTAACAAGCTCAGTTGTGGAGCATCTGATCAACACGGGGCACTTGATAAATGTCAAAAGGTCATTTCAGGTCACATACAGGACCCAATGAATTTACCTAGCCCACTCAGGCAAATAATGCTCTCACAACCAAAGTGGTAGCTATTGGGAATACCATCCCCCGCCAACTATGAAAGCATACGCGGATTCTCTGAATATATATGGCACATATTGAATGAAAAAGTGAACAAGCTTATTTTCGGTAACTCATCAACTGACTAATATGTCCTTCCCATCCCAACCCAAATTACCTAAGTAACACAGACCAAGAGTAAGATCCGATGGTAAGATCAGCCATATCCGGTTTGTAAAACTGAGACAAAAAACAACAGTAACAGAAACAGCAGCAGCAGTAGCGGCAACAACAACGATAACGATCTCCACGTGGATATTCATTTATTTTGTTTCGTATTTTCTATACAAAATGATGTTCTATAAAATGTGACGCACTAGGTAGTTGATGATTCACCGAATATAAACCGATTATCTGCATTCTGAGGTCACCATGGTCAGATGACGATGTAATCAACCCTTATTCAGAAGGTTAAATGAATGCTCAAGTTACGCAACTAGTTTAATCAGCCGATTAAAATTTTATAAAAACTCCTTTCCCACTCCATTCTTACTGTGAAGTTTGATTTTTGTTGCCCCGGTGACAAAATGGAAATGGATCATTGAAGTCAGTTTATTACCGGGTGTATTGGTAAATCCATCTCAAAGTTCTACACACCTTCCCGACATACTATCCATAATATTTTGAATGATTTCCGTATCGATATTATTCCACTCTGAGGAAAGATGCTCCCAGTACGTGCTTTGTGGTGTAAACTCTAGAGTGTTGGTACAGCTTTCACGTTACAATAATCATTTTATAACTCTGCACGCCTAAATTCTCTTTCGATATGAATACACAACGAGTGATTTACTCCTTTGTTTTCAGAATCCGCAAAACTAACAGTCATTAGGTGACGTATGTGTAATGATTGCATTAGCAGTAGTAGCACGCACGGAATTCGGAACACCTACCACGAACTATGAATCACAGGACCCGAATCAGTAATCAGCTATCACGGACTAGATCTCAGATGCACTGGACCACAATGACACGGGTTCACAATGCCCCACGAGAACGAGACGCGAGGAAAAGGCCACAGGACTGGCAGTAAGTAGTTCGTTTATTGGAAAAAATGAAGGTGATCAAATAATATGTACATAATAATATGTATCATTGACTATCTTGGTCTCCACCAATGGGATTGCAGTACTTCTTGCATAATTTTGCTTCTGTCTGCACTGTCTTGCATTGGCTGGCACCATCCACCAATGACGTGTATTCAGAAGCCATGCACTTGTCATTGACGTCAGCATTGAAACTTGATTGATCACAAATGTTCTNGTTCTGAAACTGTAACGCGCCGCTCTAGGGTAGGCGCCATTGTATAGGCCTGGATCACCACAGTGCCATCTCGAGCAACGGACCAACCGAACTCACCATACTGCGTGGGGCACAAGGCTCTGCTGCATGCCTTCGTACACTGGGACCTTATGCCAGAAATGACATCAAATGGACATCTTGAATCCGTTTTCCAATAGGATAACGCCACAGTTCTTAACTTGCATTTGTCAAAATGCGGTTTATTTTTCCGTGACATCAACACTAGCGCGGTCTGAGTGCAGCCTAGATTTGAATCCAATAGATAACATTTTGGGCTATTCTTACCCGAAACGGGTACCAACACTCCAGAGTTTACGCCACAAAGCACGAAATGAAAGGATCTTTGTTCCGAGTATAGATTATTATCGATGCAGACATCATTCAAAATATTATGAAGAGTATGCCGAAAAGTTGTGTAGATGTTCTTGACCAGTACAATCTTTTTTCACAATGAGAATTACTGTTTTTGATATATCTTTAAAGTAAAAGAGCTTGATAAAATTTTCTATTTCGGCTCTCCATTCGGTTGCCGTCTAGATTATTAAAAAGTGGTGATTATCGCGCACGCGGGAGCGGAGATACTCCAAAAACCTAGGGATGTGCAGTACTTTATCTCAGGGTCTAATATTCTAGAAGCCTCTGAATAAATAATCGCTTGTCTTTTCGATACCAGAGCGGCTGAGGTGTCCAAATCCCCTGGATCAATCATACGGTCTTTTCAATATCATAATTACTAATCGGAAGCATTTCGCGATAAACCTGTGAAGGTTGGAGTATCCAGACACGGCGTATGTTTGAACTATTCTAGTAAGAGTTAGTTCAAATTACTGGAAGGAGTCTGTGTATGCCCTCATCCTTGTGGTGAACAGTTCGAACTCACCAACCGATCGTGACATCCTCAGACAAAAACGATAAGATCTTCGTTGAACGTATCGAATTTATTAGAATCTTTGTATTCAAACCAAGACGATAAAAAGGCGGTACAGTAATGTGCCACACGTTGACCAAGTACAATGAATCCTTATCGAATAACAAATCAGAACAGTTGCATGAATTAATCTTGTCATATAATATCGGGCTCTGTCGAATTCTTCCACTATGTTATTCGGGACCATATTAAAGTAATTAGTGAGGTTAACCCAAACAATCTCAGTAGGTTTTCTGTAGAGTAGCTGACATTTGAGTACAAACGTTGGAAACGGTTGTGCTGGTGGTGTGACAGTGCAACAGAAGTTCAGTTCAGTTCAGTTCAGTTCGTACAACCATTAACCATTCACTATCGCGTGCCGGTTTTGGTTGCTGTCTTTTGACTGCCCCTTTGGATGAACATTAGGAGAAAGACAGGAAAGGTTGAAAGTAGGATCAAAGTGAATAATGAGAATTTCAGTGGACTAATGTTACAGAGAAATTGAGAAGATGCACGAACGCCACTGTTTACGACACTCAGCCATAAATCTCAGTGTCCCCAACCATCGCGTACGATCATTCGGAGGTTCCCATCCAGGGAGCTTAACGAGACCTGTATGACCCAGAATCCTGGTTTGGGATTTCATACCCTCATGCCAGGTCTTAGCCTGACCACCCTTGGCAACAGAAGACCAGCTATTTGATTCCATGCGCAATAGTCACTTTTGGACGTCAAAATGTCTGTTCACTACTGAAATAATCCAAATCTCATTAGACAATACACCAACCCGGTTCACGATAATAATCGAACATATTAAGCACTGCTAGTTGGGAAGACAGATTGTTTTGTTGAAACAAATAGGCATTGTTTGAAAGTAGATCCACAAGGAAAACAAGGGCCGGAAAGCCTCAGGTTTCGTGTTGAATATATCGATATTCCAACTATTTCAGTTCATAAGTATGGATTAGAAAAATCACTTTGAAGCAGCAGTTTTGCTAGCTTGGGGGAATATCAATATACGTTCCCTCCGTGCCCATAAGGGACCAGTTAATATCAGGATAATCTTGCATAAGGTTCTGTGCCGTATTTGGACGTTTGGACTCATCCACACGGATAGATTGCGTAACTCTTGGTTGCGAGTAATATTCGCGAAACTGTTTTCGATGGCGTTCTGATAGAAGGGACAGAATAAGGCGAATAATAGTAGTTATCCAACAAAATGTGAAGAAAAATGTGACAATTACAAACAAAACTGATCATCTTTTCCAAGGAAAATATTGGTTGATATTCACAATAAAATTCACCGACAAAACCATGAAACAGTTGTGCAGAATGTTTGCTTGTGTGATTGGTTTTAGGTCATGAAATAACTCAGACAGGGCCGTTTAAAGTCGAAAATTATGCGAAACAGTAGGATCAGTGTGAAGTGAGCAGAGTGTGCAGCTTTCAAATATCGACCAGGCTATTCAGCTCTGAAACAACGGATTAATATGCGATAATAACTGTTACTGCATCCGACTTGATTTTTTACCTTCATTCTGCATGAGCTTGTAAAAAAGTGGAATATCAAGATAAACATAACAGGAAATTGGACAGCAGCAAAGCTCTTTCCTCTGCACGAAGATGTCACTTTGAAAGGTTCTTCATTTGCGAATATGAGGGGAAAAGTGTTCTTAGAGATCGGAATGGGATGAAGATTAACTTCAGGACAAGGCTAAACTACTCTGATTCTATGATGGTTCTCGCATTAGTGTTAGAAACACTAAATGAACAGGGCTCGGTTCATCCATGTGTTACAGTTGGGGGACCCAAGCTCGTTGACGATAATGAGCAAATTCTATAGACTGGGAGTTTGCACACAAATAAACCGTAACAGTGCAAGTCACCAGACCGATAGTATGTTTTTGATGGATGACCGATTGAAATCTATCAGGTTTTGCATTTTGAAAAATACCGGAAGCATGGGTTGTAATCGAACCAATGAAGAGGTACATCCTATACGTTGGCACCCGGAGCGCATTCCCAGTTGAGCTACTATCTTCAACTGACGGATTTAGTCCTTTACATGTACTCGCTCACTCATTCACTCATCCAGCATATAGATTTATACATAACCCATGAAGCAGTAAGTAGGCCGTCTCTCCTGACAAGTTTTCTTCGTTCATAATCAAATGCGCTGAGCTGACCGAAGTGATATCGTGCAAATGCATATGCACGCATGGGTTCGAGCACTACACAGGTTTCTGACATTTTCACAGTTCATGATTGGCTAAAACAATGTGGTCTTCAAACTGTTACTAGGGCAGACGAAGAGAACGCACCCTTGAGCTTTTCCAACGGCTCGTTTTCGCCTCCATACTCCGCAGGCATAATCTTTTTCAATCCAGGGACTGCTTTGTAAGCCAGTTCCAAATTGTTTTTGACGCGTAGCATCTGAATGGATTGTAACAGGATACAGAATTAAAGAGAGAGAAATTTAATGATTACCAGTGTATGAATGTGTAAGGGGGTTGGAGGAGCGATTAGAAATTAGGAAATACCACGAACAAATTGAAGTTGAATACACGATCAAGTTGAAATGAGGACAGTTTGTATAGTGGGTTCGACCCAATTTACACAAGACTTCAACATAATTCTACATAGCTTTCGACTATGGTCGCCGCATGGTGCAGCATTCACAACGGTTGTGCGCAGAACCCTATTTATTACAACTGCTGGCGGCCTTGACCTCTACCACCCGTTAAAGTACCTAATATTCCCGGAGGCTCCCACAAAACGTTCATACGACTACTCCTTGAAGGGGGTGTTGCTTGATCATCTACTGCACACTGAGTTTTAAGCGCTCGGCATAGTCTAATTCAGTTCCTTGGGATGTGCCGAAAACATATCTTGTCGCGATTTCACCTCCAATTAAACAAGCGGGCGGCACACTGCACTTACAGTACTGGCCGATTTTGATGCACTAAAATATTTTCTTTATGATGAAATGGAGTTTCATTATATTT